ATGCGAGAGGTGCTTACTTTTACAGTTTTATGGATTTTTTAAGTAGGTAGTGAGTTTGTGCAACTCTAATTTATTATCCTGAGTTAAGGATAACTTTCCTGTATCAAATCTGGACAGGATCATTCCGGGTGAAATTAGTGATAGGAGGTCGATATTGGGTGAGCTTAACTGGATATTCACAGCAATTACAGACACAATTGCGTGGGACGCCTTGTCTAAAGAACTCTTTCAAAAGATTTTTCGTCTTGTACGTTTGTTGTATATATTTTTTCTTTTTTATAGTCACTTTGCTTTGAATTATTTCTCGTTGGTAGAAAGTATAAAACTACCGTAGAAGGTGAAAATTGGTTAGATTAAGAAAGATTTTGACTTGCGTTTTTAAGGATCTCGTTTTGGCTTCTTTGTGTAGAAGTTTCTTACTGGCCGATCGGGTCATGTTGGCCTACAATCGTCATGTAGTATCGGAGCCGAAGTTGCCTTCTCTACATGATCATCCTTTGTGGGATGCATGGGACTTTACGTTGGATCATTGCCTCGATCGCATGCATGGTGCTGCTCTACAAAATTCAAATGTTCTTTGGAGTCTCGGCAAAGAGTTATATTTTGTTAGGACATCTCTCCGCTACAACGGTTTGTTCCTTGGCATTTGTGAAATTAAAGTAGGTAGGGAGAAGCTTGATGGAGACGATGAAGTGAATTTACCAAATGTTTCTTGTAAAGTATACTTCGCGTTATTATTTTTTTTAAAATTTTGACTGGCTTTTGAGACTTGTTTTTTTTAGTCCTCATCGAAATGAATAACGAGTTTTATAAATCAGAAAAAGAAAATGGAACTCCGCTAAATTGGTTTTTCAAGGATCAGTTGAAAGCCTTCGATATGTGGTTGAGATACGGAGCGGACAAGCATATTCCTCCGCAGCAACTTCCTGTTGTTTTACAAGTTCTGTTAAGTCAGGTTTGTTTTGCTGCAACTTCTTTTATTTGTCTTCAATTTTTCTGGTGTTAGGTCATTAGTCTGTTCAAGTGGTTACTTTTTTAGCAGTATCGAGTGGAGGCGCTGAAATTGTTGGCAAGGTTTCTTGATCTAGGCGCTTGGGCGGTTGGTCATGCGCTAACCGTTGGAATCTTCCCGTATATGTTGAAACTGCTGCAAAGTGGTCTAAAGGACTTAAGGCAGTGGCTTGCCTTTATATGGGCAAAAATTCTTGCGGTGGAGCCCAATTGTCAAAGTGATCTTGTAAAAGATAAAGATCAAGGGTGTGTTTTTAAAAAGACATTGTCTTTTTTCCCAATTGCGCTTTCAGTAGGGGAATGGTTAAAGTTTTATTATGGAAACTAGTTTTACTCTGGTAACTTTACCTGTTTTCAGGTACTTGTACTTCATTACGATTCTGAACGATATATCAGTATCGCCTTGGCACAAAATTGCATCTGCATTTGTAACGGCAGCAATAATACACAACGATTACAAGTAGTCTCATTACTGCCTTCTTTAATGATCTTTTTCTTCATTATGCTTTCGGCTTTTAGGCCTGCTCAAGATGTCTTAAGCTCGAATGGCTACATTTCGATATGTGTGGAATTGCTTTCTGGTTCAGCCATTGAAAAGTGTCGATTACTAAAGCTTTGGGTACTGATTGGGCTAGGTCGTCTTTGGTCCGGACATAACGAAGCTAGGTGGCAAGCCATCAGGCTTGTCGCTCACGATAGAGTAAAACTGTTTTAAAAATGAATTTTAGAAGTTTACTAGCGTCTGCTTTCTAAATTTAATTTTTTAAGTTGGTGGAAATTAGCCTATCTATTTTTCTTTAGTAATTTCAGGTTTTTTCTTTCTATGGTTTCATAAGCAAGAATAATGTACTTATTGATTTTAGGTTATGGACTGTCTGAACAATGCAGTGCCAGAAATACGAGCTGCAGCTATGTACGCACTAGGGTGTTTAGTGAGAAATCGCTCGGAATCTAATGAACACGCTTCGTCAGTATGCCTTTAGCCCATATTATTATCTGTTTTGTTAATAATCAAGGTTTGTAGATTTTATTTCGTTTTTGAGGTCGATCACGAAATCTGCGAGCGAATTGCTACGAAATGTATGTACGAAGGCTCAGTGCTAGTGAGAGCAGAACTTGTAGTTGCTCTGCAGTGGTTTATTATTGATTTTGAGCAGCATTTCGCAAACGTGTATCTTGAGCTTTCCAAGAAAGCGGCAGAAAGGAGGTTGTCAAGAAAAGCATTTTTGGATGAGAAAGCTGCTTTAGAACGTAGTGATAGAAGGCCTGTGAGGCGAAGTAATTATGGCCGAAAACTGTCGGTTCGATGATTTTTTTGGTATTAGTGTGGCTGTATGACTGTTTTTTGGTTGTAGTGTTTCTTTTTTGTGGTCTTTTATTTATTTATTTATTTTGGTGAACACGAGTTTTTTATTGAAAGATTAACAAGGAATATCAGTTTCCTCTGGGTAAAATCTGATTCTTCTTTGAAATAAGTTTAGGTTGGTGAAAATGAAAATAGCAGGATACCAGAAGACCAGCCGTTTACTTATTATAGCACGCTCCCAAGGTACTGTTTTTCAAATTACTTGTTTGATTCTTTCTTGCTGTTTTTCCTATTACTGTGGTGCGAATTTTTTGTTGGAGTAACTTTCTCAGTGGTTAGCTTGTATTCGTCTTTTTTCTTGTTTTCGACTTCAAGCTAGTTTATGTTGAGTGGAAAAACACTAACAACTAATCGTCATTATTTGACCGATACATGAAAGGAAGCAGAACTTTTTGTTACTTATCCTTTTTGAAAATTAAGTTGGTTCGTTGCATTGTGTTTTTACGCTCCTTATTCAATCTTTATAAATCTGTGCTCAAGTAAAAGGTTTGTTAGAGAATTTTTTATCATGTCATTTCAGAGATTATTTGAAACAGTCGTACAGAAGGCAAGTTCAAGGAGTCCCACAAAGGTCTAATTCGATGGTTTTAGGTAGATTTCAGTGTATTCCTTAAAATGCGTGACCCATAATCAGTGTCTTGCTATAAAAGATTTTTTTAGGTCCTTTATTCGAACACAGCGGTTCGTCTAACGCCACTACTCCCAAAATGGGCAAGAGGGAGAAGAGGGAAGAAGAAATTTTCAAGTACAATTTACTTTTTTGTTTTTGCAAAGGGATATTAGAATTATTTGTTTCAGATAAATACTTGAAACTTAGTTTGGAGGGGGGAGGTGAGTAATTTTTAGGATCTTTCAATTGTAAATTCAAATTTTTCAGGGACAACTTTCTTAATTTTACAAATTTTATGTATTATTTGTCATAATAACTTTTTTTTAGGGAAAAGGTTAGGGAGCAAATGCAATTACTAGCAGAGCAGTTGATGATGAGTCAGGTCGAACGAGTTTGGTTTGCTATTTTATGGCTTTCTCTAGACCCTGTCAAAAAGGTTGCCGAGATGTCGCGGGTTTGTCTCTGTTCTTCTGAAGAGGCAGTTGCAGAATTCCTGTAATTAATTTTGGTTGTTCCTATAGGTTTTAATCAGTTACATCGAGGAAGTGGCAGCAGCGAAGAAGGAAAGGTTTTCAAACATTTACAAGCAGTCAACCGCATCATTTGTTGCTTCTAATGAAAAAGTAATGTGGCTTTTACCTTAGTTGTTTTTTACAATATTTTATCATGTGCAGGCTAATTGTACCTACCTGTTCGCTGCAATATTCTGTAATTCCAGATAAATGAGAAGAATGATTCACCAGAGCGTCCGACTTTTACAATAGGATCTCCTACGATTGAGAAAAGCTGTTTTGAGGAAGCTCACGGGAGAGGAACGGATGTAACTCCCAATTCTTCGTTTTCCGCTATTCCAGCTGTGACACTTACGACCTCCGATGCAAGTAAAGTGGTTTCTGCTCATTTGGCGGTCCCAACTTTGAGCAGAGTTCAACAGAAGAGTGGAACTGTAGCTTCAGCCTCAGCTCCTGTTGAAGCTCCGAATTCTAGAACTGATTGCAAAGCGAGTCACTTTGACTCTTCAAAATTAGTTGGGGATCGGAAGATTTGTTCTTCTAAAAAAGGTGAGTCGAGAGATCTACAGCATCGTCACTCAAAAGATGAGGCTGATGCCAGTGGTCATGGAAACGCAGTATCTTCTGATGCAGAAACTGTATACAGTGAAGCTTCTGGAACTGGGAAATTAAACGCCTTAAAGCGACATCAAAACGCTACTGAAGATTTGAATGCTACTCATAAGAACTGTAGTGCGGCATTAGGTAACAATTCTTCCCCTTGGATGGTTTCTAAAGCAGGCTCCAAAAAACATCTTGTTGTGGGAAATGGTGCTGATATTCCTGGAGGACTAGTTAAAACTATGAAAGTATCAGTTCGCGGTGGCAATTTAAAAGAAATGTCTCATAACGAAATAGATGCCGTCACTTGCCTGAAACATCCAGCACAGAATAGCAGCGGGTCAGAAAATCCAGACAAGGATGACGGGAAA